AGTTCCTCTCAGGACGGTCAAACCCACTGAGGACAGAACAAGTATCTCGCTTTGTGCAGGGTGTTAAGACAATTTCTCAACAAAATGTTTCAGGTCATTTCTCCCAGATCACCCAAGACTCCTGATTTTCTTTCATGGGCTCCTTTTTAAGTCTTTCCTGATCTCAAACTTAGGAATTAGAAGCATCATTCAGATCAGGAGAACAACTAGGATGATAAAGGGACTGGAGCACCTCTCCTACGAGGAAAGGCTGAGAGAGTTGGGCTTGTTCAGCCTGAAGAAAAGACTGAGAGGGGACCTTATCAACACGTACAAATATCTTAAGGGCGGAAGTCACAAGGATGGAAGCAGTCTGTTTGCAGTGGTGTCCAGCGACAGGACTAGGGACAATGGGTGCAAACTGAAACATAAGAGGTTTCAGTTGAATATGAGGAAAAACTTCTTTACTCTAAGGGTGACAGAGCACTGGAACAAGCTGCCCAGGGAGGTTGTGGAGCCTCCTTCTCTGGAGATATTCAAAGCCCGCCTGGACGAAGTCCTGTGTAGAATGCTCTAGGAGAGCCTGCTTTAGCAGGGGCGTTGGACTAGATGATCTCCCGAGGTCCCTTCCAACCCTTGCGATTCTGTGATTCTGTGATCTAGCCTGTAAGAGCCACAAAGTTAAAATTTTCCAGGTGTTGTATCAAGATTCAAAGATAGCTCTATCTTCCTTCACTCTCTCTTTTACTTTCTCTGCTCTCAAAGGACACCAATAACAAAAGAAAACAGGAAAACAAAGTCACATATGAAATGCAATAAGCAATGCTTACAGTGACATAGGAATCTTACATTAGAGAACAGGCTTTTGCATCCGAGCTAAAGATTTCAGATGCCTAATGTTACACTGGGCATTTCCTGAAAAATAATCAGGGGATATGTGCTGGTTTTGGCTGGGATAATTTTCTTCATAGTAGCTCATATGGGACTACGTTTTGGATTCGTGCTGAAAACAGCATTGATAACAGAGGGATGTTTTCGTTACTGCTGAGCAGGGCTTACACAGCGTCAGGGCCATTTCTGCTTCTCACCCCACCTCACCAGCGAGGACACTGGGCGTGCACAAGAACTTGGGAGGGGACACAGCTGGGACAGCTGACCAAAGGGGTAATGCACAGCATATGACATCGTGCTCAGCATATAAAGCTGGGAGAAGAGTAAGGAAGAGAGGGGACATTCAGAGTTATGGCTTTTGTCTTCCCAAGTAACTGTTACATGTAATGGAGCCCTGGAAGTGGGAAGCAGAGAATGAATTCCTTGTTTTGCTTTCCTTGTGTGCGTGGCTTTTGCTTTACCCTATTAAGTTGTCTTCATCTCAACCCATGAGTTTTCTCACTTTTACTCTCAGATTCTTTCCCCCCTCCCACGGGGGCGGGGGGGTGTGGGGTGGGTGGGTGATGGAGAGCGAGAACAGCTGGGCAGCGCATAGTTGCTGGCTGGTGTTAAACCACGAAAGGATAAAACAATCATGTCCTTGAATTAGATAACTGCTGAAGAAATTTAGGACATTTATACATTCCAGAAACATGACTGAGGTATGTAAACAAGACTAAGATGCCAACTAGTAGTTAATTGTAAAATCCTTGCTAAACAGCACAGCTCTTCAATGAATCTATCATGCAATTAAAATGCCTACACCTAGACTTCTCTACCAGATAGTTTAGGCACGTCTCTGTGTCTGGCCTCTGTTGTAATGTCCCTGAATCACTCTATGGAGATACCTCACATTCACCTCACAGAGAGATTTGAGGGTAATTTGGACCATCTATATAAAGACCAGTAAGTTCAACTGTTACAGGTTTCTATTCTAGGGGAAAAGGAACAATATATCCAAACAGTGGAAAGCTATGTTTCCTTCAGTTTTCTAATAGCCTTAATCTACAGAAAATACCTAAACTCATTTCTGATAGGAAAGACCTCAATTTTTATTGACAATGTTTGTTACAGGTTACCTCTTCTTCAAGGCCTTCCTCTAGGAAATACATACAGAGGAAAATAAATGAAGCCTAAAACACAGAATAAATTCTTACAGGCTTTTGATCTATTGGGTTGGGTAAGACATTCCAGTAAAGATTTAATACTTCATTCACAGAACACTGTAACTTAACATTAAAGTCTGTACACCTGTACGCTGGAGCCAGAAAACACCAACAGGGAAAACTTATGGAGAGTATGAGACTCAGCAATGTTGTATCAGACTTGTGAGAGGCAAACTAAGATCACAGTAACAGTTGACTCTTAGAGGGTACAGAAAGCACACCCCAAATCATCTCACTGTCACCAGTCAAGAGGATAGTAAGATACGCAGTAAAGACTCATGATGTTACATCCCTTGTCCTACATGTTGCTGGAAGAGAAAGTTAACATAAATGCAGCAGGAGAACGCAGAACCATGGTGTGGGAACAACTGTGCTGAGACTGGACAGTAACTCAATGGCCAACCCCGACCAAACATTTACCATTTCTGCAGAAAGCAGCTTGGCAGTAACCAAACTGCTAATTTAGTATTCACATATTCAGCATTTTGGTTAAATAGTAAATGCAACAATAGAGCAGGTAAGACACCTGCACGATGATCGTCAGGTAAACTACTCACCTGTCAATCGTTTTCTGTCATTCACCAGGGAACACGGACAACCAGTTCAAATGGAGTGAGCAACTGCAGAAAGCAACAGGTTGCTGAAATTAAAGGATACAAAAAGATAGCTCACCAACTGTGGGCTGAGACCAGTAGCAGAGGATCACAACACAACGCTCCCACCACTTGGAAAAATCAACAGTTAGGGAGGCAAACGCCCTTCTCCAGACTACGTCAACACGTAAGGATAGGTGTTCCTGGACCCCCCATGTCATGAGCATAGCCTCTTAAGAGCCAATACAAGGATCTTGCAGACTGTAACAGACTGGGAGAACTTATTCTGGGGTTGCTCCTATAGTCAACCCCTGACAAATGGGCTGGATAACAATACCTGGTAAGGTAAGAATGCAAGTGTGCATTCTGCATGTGTGTGCATGTGCCAAAGACTAGTTTATCTGGAAGGCATCTGCCCAAAACTGTTCCAAGTCAAAAGGGAAGATGGTCATCAACCACCAACTGACAGTGTTCAAGAAGAATACAATCATCACCTGGATTAAACAGTAACTGGGGAAGTTCAGACACTTTCAAAACAAAAAAGGATTCAATAGAAGTATAAAAGCAGTGTGAAATTTGTAATGAAGTATAAAAGCAGCATGAACTTTTTAACAAGAGGAAGACACCCTGGAGTAGTCAAGACCTGTATGACACTGCCCAAAGTCACCCTGCCAACATCACAACCTCCACCTGTACCAGACAAAGCATCCTCTCCATCAGATGCTGTAAGGAGCCGAGCCTGTACCCAGCTAGAGGACTGACAATGCAGGGTGCAACCAGTAGGGACCCACAGCTCAGCTATATGCATGCAGACTCATGGGATGCCTTCTCGCCAGCATGGGGATCAGCAGGTTATAGGGAATAGCAAATGCTTGCATAAAGCTGGAGCAACCCCGTCTCCCACAGACAGTGTGTGCAAGAAGGGGGCTTGTGCTTGTAAGCCATACATCAGGGAAAGGTGGAGAAGGAGGGAGGGATGCATGTCACAGAGAGAGAGAGAGATAAGAACTTCCTGGGATAAAAGGTGTTTAGAAACAGTGGGTGCTTCTAGAAGCTGTAGAAGCTTAGCATTTTTTGAGTATCACATTTTGTGGTTTATTTGTTATATTACCAACTTTCCTTCTGAAGATATAGTTGAGTGATTGCAATAAATTGCTTCAACCTTGAATAAACTACATGAACGGAATAGTTCTCTACTATAGTTTACCATAACCATACATTACTGTATTTGTGCAACTTTTTTTAATTGCAATTGTACACTGTAGTGCTTGGACTATAAAAAAAATTATCACTGTAATGTTTTGCATAGTCATGGTTTCTATCCTCCGCTAGGTAACACTGCTATACGTCGGCTCCTGCTAACAGACTGACCTTAAGCATGATTACTGGAAGGAAGTAAACAATATTCACCTGGAGATTAGTGACATCAGTAACCCGAAAGCACCACAAGGAAGTAACCAGGAACAGGAGATGAAAGGAATGATGTCAAATAAGGAGTATTTGACCAGGTGACCTATGTAACACTGGGACCAGGAGACTAGTAGTATAAATTCAGCACATAAAATCCAACTCTGTGGAAGATCCTTTGATCACTTTGGAGAAACAGCCACCAGTAGACCTCACTGCTTTCCAAAAGCATTGAAGTTTACTTCATCCAGGTCCACTGGCAAGGAGGAAGCTAGTGTTGTACCCCGATTTGAACTGTGGTCAGCAAAACCTCACATTTACCAGTGTGACAGCCAACACAGGGCTGGCCTCCCACCAGTTACCTATCAGGATAGGTCCATGGGAGGTTGACTCCTCTGGTGTCACTGTAGCAGGGCTTGTAGTATGTTGACCTCAGCCAGCAGGCAAGCACTCATGCAGCCACTCACTCACCACCAAGCAGGACAGGGGAGAAAACTGGAAGAACAAAAAGTGAGACAACTCAAGGGCCAAGATAAAGAGAGTTTAACAAGGAAAGGAAAGGGGAGGCGAGGGGGGGGAAAACAAGCAACACAAAGGAGATCACTCACCACTTCCCACAAGCAGACTAACGCCCAGCTACTCTCTGAACAACAGCCACCTTGGAAGCCAAAACCTCCCTTCTTCCTCCACCTGTTTTTGTTGGTGAGCATGAAGTTATACTGTATGGAATATCCCCTTTCACCAACCTGGGTCACCTGTCCTGCCTGTGTCCCCTCCCAGCCTCTTGCCCACTCTCACCCCCACTCGCTGGGGGGACAGAGTAGGGAAGAGGAGGCCTTGATGCTGCGCAAGCACTGCTCAGCAATCACCAAAACACTGGTGAGTTACCAACACTGTTTTAGCCACAGATCCAAAACCCAGTACCGTACAGCTGCTGTGAAGAAAATTAACTCCATCCCAACCACACCCAGTACAGGGCTTCAAACAACACTGAACTGTAAAAGCTCATGGCTGATATGCTTTATTTTGAACCACTGTTTTATTAGTTTTAGATAACAGATACTTGAATTAAGGGCTCATCATCTTCCCTGGCATAACCACTTCCATGCTAATCAATCAACTGTCCCAGCAAACCGTGATGAAATTCAGCATGCTGAAGGCATTAAAGCTATCAACCACTACAAATTGATCCTTGTGCTCCTGTGCCATGGCTGCCCTGGGCCAAGCTGGTGGAGAACACAGACAGCACTGAGGCTGTCCTACAACAATCTCCGCACACCACACAAGTATAAATAAATTCATCAGGGACATAAATAGTCAGGAAGTAGTGCATGGTGAAGAAAGCAATGTGAATAAAAGTAGTTCATCTGCCTCAAGTTTGCAAGACTATGATTTACATGTACCGGTTAACTAATAAACATACTACTACTTTCCATTTAGGTATTAGCCTTGTCTGTTTGGCTAAGTACAGAGTGACCTAAGCTTGCTCTGTGTTTTTAGCTGACCAAAGAAGTTCCGGCTTGAGCCTGGAGGTAACCACACATGGCACCACATTCAAGCCAGTATGCTTTGCTAATAATGTGCTATGCATTTCACTTATACGTGGGAATTTAAGTTAAAACCATGTTTGAGCTCCCACTTTTATTTTTTTAAATCAAACTAGACATAAAAGTTTATTTATATACACATATAAAACCCTAAGAATATAAACTAAGCATCCTCAACTTAACCGAGAGTATCTTCAGCTTTACTTTTCTGAATTTCCTCATGTAAGCATTTTACCTGAACACCCAGTGCAATGGCATTAAAAAGCAAGTCTCTCTCTAGGCACTACTCTTACAGGCAGGGCTTGTGCATGTGACTAAGGGCCACATGTACACTCAGAGAGTGCAAAATGAAACTGGTGTGAGGAAATTACCTCAAATGGTATTGTCACGGTCAGACACTCTGCTGCTATCTACCCCTTGAAAGAATAAGGTTCTGAGGCACAAAGTGAAGTTTATTAGGATAAGGCACTCATTAAGTAGGTAACAATTGCAATACTCTGGGAGTGAGGGCTATCCTGCTCCTATTCCAAATTTCTTATAATCTACCTAATAGGTACCATTTAATTCCCAGGGAAGTATCCTCATCTGGAGTCCCAAGTAAGGGGAGATCACCAAGACACAGGCCAGCTGTTCCTCAGGAGCACTTGGGCTCTCAGGGAGCAGTTTACACCCCTCTCCTCAGTGCTTCCTGCAATCACCACCTAGCAGTGCCATTTCACTGTTGCCAGGCGAGTCTGGGGCCCTACTCAGCCTGGATCATCTCCTCACAGGTGCCTACACATTTGGGATCTCCAAGGTCCTGGGTAGCAAGCGCACAGGCTTAAGGACCAAATTCCCAGTGAGACACACAAATCATGAGTCAAATTCAGAGTCTTATTTGACAGAAAATAAAATACAGGAACATGAATGTACAAGCATACACAGTTTGCTACAGGGTTCCTTAAAAATTGTTGCTGGCACATCAGGAATTATACTAAAGATGATTCATATTTTAGTCAGCCCTTTGAATTTAAGAGTTGCTAACTTAACACCAAACAGCTACTATATCCCTAGGAACTGCCCTGGCAAAGCGCCCCCGAACCTGGCAGATTATCCAATTCCAATCTAAAGAAACTTAGAGCAAGGAGGAATGACTAAAGATGGAAGTCTCTGAGCATTCTGTAAAGAGAAAGAAAGTGAGTGAGGGTGAGAGCAAGGCAGCTTCACTTTCTCATCTGAGTAAACTGAGGACAATTTATACCTGTCCTTACGTTTGTAGCGAGCGGAGTCAGGGTCCCTGGTGTCGGATGCAGACATGCCTGCTCTGCTTCCAACCTTCCGCTAGTTACACTGATTCTTACAGAGTCTTTCCAGATCACATGCCTTAACAGAAAGAGGCCCTCCACTTGGAAGCGATGTTTGGGGCAGCACCAGCAGAGAATCGGGGTTGCTGGGAATCCTGGGCTGAGTCGGGGGTGGCAGGTGGCTGCTTCTCCTGGGAACAAAAGGCAGAGACCAGAGAGCCATCCCCTTGGAAAGGCCACCCACGGCAGGGCCAGCAGCAGCTAGCAGCTCCTTCAGCAGCCAACAGCTCTTCCTACCTCACCCCAGGCACTTGGCCCCTGTGGTACCACACCTGGAGGGGGAACCGCTCCCATGCCCATCACAGGGCCTGGGAGCCCTGAGCTGTCACAGCAGAAGGTCCAACAGGTTCAGAAGCACCTGAGCCTGGCTGTCCATCCAGCCCACTGACTTCTCTTTATTGCCAGCAGCTCCTGCCCACTCACCCTCAGCCATGGCTGGGCAACCCTTCCCATTTAAATCTGGCTGCTTTGGATCTGACCTTCTGTGAGTCAGCGGATTGCCTGGGAGCAAGCTGGAGCTCTGCACAAACCCTCACAAAACATACAAGACTAACAACATCTACAATGCAGTTAGTGCATCACTTTCCCATCTTCCCACCAGAACTCTGCAGTACAACCAGGAGAGAGATCAGTTCTCTGGGGCAACATCCAGTTTTAGCGTACAGACTCCTTCCACATCTCTGCTTTTTCAGTTTCAGTCATTTGAGATTTCACAACTTCTGAAAAGAACACAATATTTCCATTCCAAAGAGAAACCTATAGACAAAGAGACTCCATGACCAAACTCTTCTCTGCATCTGACACCCTTGGTGGGGGGTGTGTGGCACAGACATCAGTCCTGGCATTTCACAGCCAGGACATGACCACCACACCTTCACTTGCTGAGTCATGAAAGGAAGGGCTGTCACAAAAGGAAGGGCTGGAAATGTGCAGTTAGTATTGTACTATACAGTATTTTTGAGCACACAAAGGAAAGAAACGGCACAGAAGGGAGGAGATGTGGGATGCGATGCCTGGCTAGCAAGTCCAGACAGTGCTTCCATGACTCAACAATAAAAGTGGGACAGTCTGACCAGAAAATTTTTCATTCCCCAGGCCCCTCGGCTGGTCAAGTCGCTCATCTGAAGAAGCCCTACCCTGCTTTCTGCCTAATAACCATGCTCATGCTGTCAGCGAAATCAGTAACACCAGTGTAGTGTTAAAAGGCAGGCATTCTTTATTCACAGCACCGGATGCACAGAGGATCGCTCCACCTAACATGCGTGCCTTACACCTGTTCCATATGATTTTATATAGATCAAGTATATACATATTTATTCTATTCATACATATTCAATGATACTCTTTGGTGATTGGTACAAATTTGCTTGCTTCACATGTAAATTACTGCGAAGACTCAGTTGTCCTTTTCTGTTGTTCTCTTTGAGTAGGTGGTATCACTTGGGTAGGTGGTCCGTGAGTCGGTGGTCGTGATCTCCCCCTGCCGGAATTACCTTTTACCTACTTGGATCTTAATCTTGGCGGTCCTGGCCAGTTTTCTCAGTCCACTACACGGAATCATACTCCATCATCCTCTTCTGACAGAAACACATTGTCTATTGTTTCGTTTGCATTAATGATTACCTAAAGACTACTAAAGTACAGATCAAAGAATACACTGATTCATATACTCAATGTTCCCAGACTTATTGTCCAGTTGGATAGGGCAGTACAAGAAGTATAGCAGCATCCATGGTTGGCCGATTCCATCACCCTGGTTTCAATGCAAGTCTTTGCAGACCCCAATAATAAGTTTTGGATTAAGCTGGATTTACTGACATGAGTTTAGTCCAGTATTAGCGAATTACTGGATTTACTGTCATTTTGACCTAGGTAAGTGTACTACTGATTGATATTTGTTACAGTACTGTTATTTTGACATAAACTGTTTAGCCCTAGAGCTGTTGGTCTGGTGTCCGTTACCATATCCTGAATCCATAACCCTATTAGGCTGCCTCAAGCCCCTCCACACTCCGATGTCAG